CCTTCTCCTCCTCCTCCTCCTCCGCCTCCTCCTCCTCTTCCCTCCTCCTCCAGCCCTCTTCCTCAACGTCCCCCCTTCCTCCTTGGCCCCCTGCTGCTCTTCCCTCCTCCTTCCTGCTCCTGCACCATCCTCTTTCCTTTCCTTCGCCTCCCCACTCTGCCTCCCCCCTCACCCCGCGCGCGCGGGGAGACGCAGTCTAGATCCTTCCCCCTCGCCTTTTGCACGAGGGCCTTGGCGGAATAATATTGAAAAAACAGACGGAGAAGGAGGAGCAGGAAGAGGAGCAAGGCGCGTTGGACCCCAGTGGTGCGGACGGGACGCCCCACGGCCGAGCGCGCGACATGCGCGCGCGGCCGACGCGCGCGAACGGCATGCATAGTATCATTTGAGAAGGGTCGCGTCCCCCCAACACGCGCGCAAAGTCGCTCGAATGATTCCGACATGCGGAGCGGGAGACCTGTTGGGTCTAATTTGGTGGATATGTTGAACAGCCTGTGGTTGTTTTGAGAACTCGCCAGAGCGCGCACATATATATATATATATATATAGGGTTTGTGATGAAGGCCAGATGCGCAAAACCTTCTGTGTTTCTATATGCTCGGAGCACTCGATGTCCAAAATGTTACTGGACCTCTGAACTTTGAACAATTTCGGCGTGCGCGCGCAACGACGCGCGCGCGCACTTCCTCCCACCCATGGTTTGCAAGGGAATGTTGCGACAACAGGCGTGCAAGGGCGTTCGAAATGTTCCGACATGCGTGCGCGAGGGGCACGTGTGGTAGCATGCAATGAACACATTGAAGGCCTGGTGTCTTTTCCAAATGAAAATCGCAGGAGTGCAAACGCAGGCGTTTGTTTGGCTTGCTTTTGATATAAAACAATGGTGCACAGCTGTGCGTCATATATATATATATATGTATATATATATATATATATATATGTTTGCGGGGCGCTCGGTTGTGACAGCCATGCGAAGCCGAATGGTGTTCAAAGATGCCGGCATGCGCGCGCGACGATACGCGCGTGTGCACTTCGCCCAATTGTCTGCAAGGGATTGCCCCCAAGTGCTGTTTTTTGGCAAACGAATGTGCGCGCGTTTGATGCAGAGGAGGAAGGCGACGGGGGCGAGAAAGGACTTCTTGGGACGGTATGAGCTCATGATCCTGATGAACGGCGGAGCTGCGTCATGAGCACACTGCAATCCAAAAAGCCTGTGCCTTAAGTTTGAGCGGGTAGGGAGGGTTGCAGATCTCAATAGTTTCTGAAAAAGGCGAATTTATGATGTGCAATCTGTATGGTGCAACCTATGATATACACATGGCTTTACGAATGAACTGCCAATCCGCAATTTGGTCTGCAAAACCCGTGTGGCGGTTGGCTGGTGCATCTTTGCGGCCGCGCTACCCCGCGCATGCTCGCGCGCACAGCGGCCAGCTACATTTGCGCGACCGACGCGGCCACGGTGGCGCTGACTGCTGAGCACTTCCCAGCGGGCATTTCAATGCGAGTCGGTGATTTGAACGGGCGCGGCATCATGGCTGCGACGACAACAGTGACACGATTATGGGAACAGCGATGATGGTGACGATGGTAGCGATGACGACTGCAAGGCCGGTGGTGGCGCCGACGTTGATCACGCCAGCCGACGACGATGACAGTATCCTCGCGTCGGCAATGGAGGTTTATGGACGAGTTCGACATGCAAGCGCGGCTGACGCGCGCAAGTGGCCCGCGTGGTTTTATTTGACAGGGATCGTGCCCCACCCCAGCACGCTCGCAAGGCCGTTCGGATGAGTTCGACATGCGGCGCGGGGGGCCCGCTTGGCAAAATGTCATGAGCATGTTGGGAACTCTTGGTTTCCATGAGCGAGAACCCGCACGACCGCGAGCGCAAGATTTGTTTATAAGAAATCATGTTGCAAAAACTTATGTTTTGATATGAATTCGGGACACTCGTTTTTGACATGCTTACGACACCTGACGTTTTTGACGAATTCCGGCATGCGCGTCCGACGACGCGCCCGTGTGCACTTCGTCCCATTTGTCGCTCAAGATTCTATGGACAGCACGCGCGCAAGGGCGTTCGAACAATTTCGACACGCGCGCGCGATAGGCCCCCTTGGCAGCATGGCGTGACCCTGCTGAACACCGAATCCGTTTTCGCAAAAATTCGCAAGAGCGCGGGCGCAAGCTTTTGTTGAAAATCCTTGTTGCGAAACCGTATGTGTTGCACATGTTTCCGTAACTCTCGATACAACAAAAAAAACTCACGCGAGCTGCAATTCTTGATGGAATTTGAGATGGGCGCGCGACGACGCGCGCATGTACTCTTGGTTCCACCTGTTGCAAGGGATGTTTGGAACATCGTGTGATAAACGAGTGCGCGCGCATAGTTTTCTTCCCAAGAACATGAGGAGGGGAACCGGCACGGGCCTGCCTGGGATGGTACGACTTCATATTTAAGATGAACGATTTAAGATGAACGCTGTCGCCAAGGCCGCTGCGGGCTGCCCGCCGCAGTGTGCTGCGGGCGCGCGGCTCCTGCAGGAGGCTGAGCTCCTGGTGGCGCGCGAGGGCGCGGTCCTTTGGGCGGTCACTTACGCCGCTTACAACCACGTCCGCGAGTTGATCGGGCCAGGGGGCGCCGTCCGGCGTGTGACGGTGCGCGACGCGGCCGCCGCGCGGCGCCCGCGGGCGCGGCCCCGCACCGGCGCCCCGCCGCAGCGTGCGCCGCCAGCGCCGCAGCTGCCCGCGGCGGCGTCGCCCCCGCCCGCCGCGCTGGCGCCTGCCGGGGCCGCGGCTGCTGCCCGCCCGCGCGCGCTGGGTGCGCATCGTGCGGCGCACGCCGCTGCAGCCCGGGCGGCCTCGGCTGCGCGCGCAGCCGCTGCCGACGCGGCCACGCTGGCCATTTGCGAGGCGCGGGCGGCCGCGGCGCGGCCGTCCTCGCCGCCCTCCGGGCGCGCGTCCTCGCCCGCGTCGGCCAGGGCGCGGCGGCCCCCGCGCTGGGCTTCCCCGTGGAGGGCCCCCAGGGGAATTCTGGGCGCCCCCTGCCAGGCGCTCAGAATGGGCGCGGGCCGCCGCCGGGGCCGCCAGGCAGCCCCCGGGGGAATTCTGAGCGTCCCCTGCCAGGCGCTCAGAATGGGCGCGGGCCGAGGGCGGTTGCCACGCTGAGGCTCCGGGAGCCTGCATAGCGTGGCTGTGTAGGCGGCGGCGGGGTGTGCCGGCCGCCCTCCTCCTCCTCCTCCTCCTCCTCCTCCTCCTCCTCCTCCTCCTCCTCCTCCTCCTCCTCCTCCTCCTCCTCTAATTGGTTGCACCGCGCTTTCGCGGGCACGCGCGGGGGAGCGTTGTCGCCTCGTTCGCCGCTGGACGCGAAAAAAAAAGGCAGAATCGTATGCAGATTGCAATACTAAAGGGTAGCCCGCTAACCCCGGGGGGGTAGATCCTGATAGTGTTATGGAAAACTTCATTGGGAATTGACAGAGACGTGCAAACTTTCTGTTAAAAAACTGATGTTGCCAAAACCATGTGATTTTATATGTTTCGGGCCGCTCGGTTTTGAAATCAGCACGAAACGGACTTGTGCTGAGGGATTTCGGCATGCACGCGCGACGACGCACGCGTGCGCACCTCGTCCCATAGACTCCGAAGGATGCTGAACAAATTGAATTCTACAAAACGAATGCGCTCGCATAAGATTTTGCAAGAAGATGGTGGGTGGATCGATACCGGCCTGGCTGGGATGGTACGGGCTCGTATTCAGAATGAATGCATAACTGCAAACGTAAACTGCACATCCCCACGGCGGGGGAATAACCGTGGGGCTGTTGGTAGATCCTAAAGCATTTTTTGTTTGCAAAGGAAAATCTATTTCGGGCGGCGACCAGTGCAATGCAATGCGAAGCAATGCTAATCAACACAATGCGGAGCAATGTGGGCCTGACGACGGGCGGCGACGAGGTGGCGACGAGGGGACGACTGGGAGGCGACGGCGACAACATAGCCGCCAGACCGCCAGACAGGCCCAGATGAGGGGCGGCGATGAGGCGGCGACGGGGCGGCGACGGCGACAACACAGCCGCCGCAATGCAAGACAGGCCCAGTTACTTAGAAAAGAGGTAAGAACCCCTAAGTGCAAGCACTGTTTGTCGAATCCTGAACATGAAAATGTCAGTCATCGTCACACCACCAGACGTGTCTTTCCGTAGGGCGGGCCGAGAGATTCCGTGTACGCATTTCCCAAACATGTCGTTGCACCGACCATGGAGACGTGCTACAAAGGATTTGCGCGTGGATTTCTGTCAATGCAAAACCCCGAAACGGCAAGTGAAAAACGAAGTGGTTTCGCGTGGATTTGTTTTAGTCTTCGTTCCTGGCCCAAAACAATCCGCACGAAATTCACATCGAAATCCGGAACGAAATTCTCCGGGATACTCCGGGCCCATCCGATCGGTTTCCGAACGATATCCACGTTGCGAAGTTGGCGCCATGACAAATCCACAGACGACGTCCAAATGGCTCTCAAACTGTTCTCGTCCTGTCGCCGTGCACGCTTGCCCCAGACATTCGCAGCACTCGCACGGATGCACGGCGGGTGGTTTTCCATGTGTGGCCCTCACCGTCAGGGCACCCATATTCGTACTCAAGGCTGCACAACAGCTGAACACTGATTGAGAGGCTTGTGTTTGTTGGAAAAAGGAAAAGGCTACAATCTTGGTTCCGCCCACAGTCATCGTCAAAATTCGCATGACCGCGCGGAAGGAGCGTGGCCCCGTGTACAAATCGATCTTTCGCTTGAAACTTCTTCCATACGCTGCGAATCGCAATCTCGGAAAGCGAATCAGTCGCATAGATGGAAGGCGACTCTCGACCTTGAAGAAGACTTCAACGGTCGGATGGTGGTTCCTTTTGCAACATGGTCCCGCCTGACACGCACTTGAAGTCCATGCGCCTCTGCATCTCGACATCCCTGACACGTTCCGTTGGGGCTGCAAATTGCGTGG